AACTGCTTGAGATTGGTATGTACCTGAACAAAGGGTACCATGTTTTCGTCGACAGATATTTCACGTCGGTGCCCCTTGTTCGCCACATGTATTCTCTACAGACTTATATCACTGGAACAGTTCGACGTAACCATAAAATGCTACCTCAACAGTTTAAGAAGAAATTTGCAGCCGGACAAACATCGTATTTCAGGTCTGGTCCCGTGTTAGCCTATGGCTTCAGACAGAAGCAGTCACAAAAGAATCCTGTCTTTCTATTATCCAGCCACGCATGGGCGCGCGATGTAGAAGTAATTTGGAATGGAGAGGCTAAATTGAAGCCAGAAATAATTCAAAATTATAATGAATTTATAGGTGGGGTAGATACATCCGATGTTATGTTGTATGCATATTTGGATGAGAGGAGGACAGTGAAGTATTGGAAGAAAGTGGCTTTCAACATCATAGCCAGGATGGTGTTGAACAGCTACATTCTTTACAAAGAGAATTTTGCGGGACCAGGGAAAGTGAAATCTCGATTTTCTTATAATGTGGCGGTGATCGAGAGCTTGGAGGAGGAATTTAAGGCTTGGAATTTGATTATAAACAACCCTGAAGAACCAAAGGGATGAGGAAACTTTCGGGAAGAAGGAAAGCTCGTTGCTGTGTGTGTAGCAATAATAACTTAATTAGGAGGTCACGAACTGTATGCACACATTACAACAAGGGGCTACATGGAGAATGTTTTTGAAGCATAAATGCTAACAACAAAAGGTATGTGCACAATTTAATATAATTCTGTATCGAAGAGCTTTAAATGAAAAAAAAATTTTTTTGTGAACTTAGAAATGTAATTATACAGTGATCTTTATCGACATTCGTCGTCATCATAGCGGGTTAGCAGAGAAGAAGATAAAGAAATTTGGATGCCAGTGGAATCGTATGTTATAATGTGTTATAATTCAAGAGAGAATAAGACTATATGCAAGCATCTTATATGTAAATGTACAGAACAATGTTTTCACTGTTTCTAGCATAGTGGGAATAGAGAAAATTTTACGGACTTTTTTATTCGGGAAATTTTGTTATATCAAAGTGTAAATATTAAGTTGTAAATAAAAATTATCACATGTTGTTAAAGTAATTTTATAATATAAACAATTGAAAAATACTGTACCAAAGACTATTTGTAGTAGTAAATAGCTGTGATAGTTTTCTACGTCTACAATACCAATTAATTTTTTCCGAATACACTCGACCCCCCTATAACACTGTTGATTATTCCGTTTTATATGAATTCCATGTTGTACGAGTCACTTAGATTTTACAAATACGTGTGCCGGGCTGTGAACGGCACACGTATTTGTAAAATCTAAGTGACTCGTACAACATGGAATTCATATAAAACGGAATAATCAACAGTGTTATAGGGGGGGTCGACTGTATTTAAGATGTGTAAAAACTGGCTAAATGCTCGCCGAAAAAGCCAAACTATTTAAAAATCTTAACATATCGTTAACTACAAATAGCAAATATACAGTCTGTTTGTTGTTTTTATATTTAAAAAAAATGTTACTAATTATGATTAAAATTAAAGTTTTGTCAATTTAATTATCCAAGAAAACTTTCAAATTTATTGTATTTCTAAATTCATGGAAAATCACGCGATAGATTATTATTATATAAACTTTATATTAGTATTTCTACATAAAAATACATTGAAAAATCCAATATAATAGCTCATTTTAGTTTAATCACACATCGTAGATTTATCAAATACTTACACAAGTTAAATATTATTTTATTTCGAGTCATATTATCTTAAAAGCATTATTTCATTAAGTCTTATATATCACATTAAATTGTATTTTAGTTAAAACTAATAATTATATACCTAAGTAAATATACGTATATACAGTATACAAAAAGGAATTTTCAATATATATGCAGCATTATTTCTGAAAATGGTTTTCGATTTAAGGATTTTATTGCCTTTTTAATATAAAGGAAACTCGCATAAATAGCTTTATAACAAAATTGCACCTAGGGCCTCGAAGGAACATAATTCTCTACTGTGCAATATAACCAATTTATACATCAATATTTAAATTACGGCTTTCACCTTTGGAAACGATGATGTGATAACGGGATCAAGATAAATGAGAAGGATAAAATTTAAATTTGATCAATAATATTGTAAGGTTTGACCGACCCTGAGTTGTCTGGGGATTTAAAATCCCACGTGTTCCGTTGGGAAGTTAATTCCCTAATTCCTACCGTGGAGAAGTCTGCGGCGGGAAGTTCGGTCCCTAAATTCCTTTGCCTTACTTGGTTCGCTTTCTTTAGCCTTTGCTCCTACAATCCCTAGCTCACTAGACCGGACTGTTGTTCACTTTCAACCTTTCGTGTCCTTGGGACCTAGAGATTTTATATGATTTTACCCAAAATCCGGTTTTTTGGTTGGTCCGAACGGTGGTCCCCTGTTACTCTATTGGTCCTTGGTCTGTTGCCAGGTGCGCGATTCGGGCCGCGGGGTCACCGAACACCCCGTCCGACTTTTTAGTTAAACACAAACAACTCTGTACAAATAATAGGACCCACTTCTCAGGCATTACCGAAAAACAGGTGATAGCCGAATATATGAGGTGCTGGAGTCACAGGATATCGGTTGACTCCATTTTACTTATTTTTTTTACTTGTAACAATTATATCACGGTATTATTATAACTATTATTATTCTTCACGTGCTTATGGAACAAGAGATTAAAAATCGTGATATTGTTTTCTGTTTAATGAAAAAGAAGTCTGTAGATGAAATTATGATGTCGTTAATTAAATAAACTTATTTCTTTATGTTAATTTTCAGATATGATTGTATTGTTATATTTCAAGTGTACCAAACATCAGCGCACGAGGAAATTGTCCATAGGATTAATGATGAAAAAATTATCTTTTTATATTTTTATTTATTATAAAATGGCAAAAAGCTTAATTTTCAGGTTAGGAATAGGTTTTATAAAAAAAATTGTAAATGATAATAACAAATAAAATTGTCATTAAGTCGGATCCCCATTATCTCTACTCCCTCGACCTTTAACCTTCATAATGTAATAGCATCAATCCCTCTAATACACAAACCTTTCTGCAAAATGTCAGAAATTTCCGAATAAAAGCACAAGAGTTATTAAGCTTCAAACAGGGTGAACAAAATTGTGCTTCACACATACTAACTTCCCTATATATAGAGAAATTACCCTAGAATTTTTTTTCCGACATTTCAATGGGTCTTAAGTCCGAAAACTTGAAAAATCTCGGGGGTATTTTACCGTATCGCCATATTTTCTCTCTGTTATTTCAAGTAACTAAAGTCGACGTCAGCTTAACAATTTAGAAATGTTAGTTAACACCCTGAAGCTAAAAACGGGAGAAAAGGTCGAGGTGGTCCGAGTACCGAACTCTTTATCCTCAAGGTCACATAATACGAGTCGTGGTACAGTACAGCTCAATTGATACCAATTTTAAATTCGATTTTACTAAATAAATTGTTTCTAGACGTAACTACGTGACGGCATTTTATTCATTTTTTGTTCTCTGAAATTCGAAGTATTCGTTTGGGGCCGATGGAAAAATCAGATTCTTATTGTACTTTTTCCATAATTTTATATAATTTTCAAATAACAATCATGCGGGAACTCATTAACTGTATGAGAAGAGCTGTTATAACACGTGTGAGGTCTCAAACGAGGTCCGAAATCGCATAAATCGAGGAATTCTTATGTTTAAATAATAACGATAGATTAAATATGAGAAAAAGAGGCAAATCCCTTAATCTAAACAACGCAGCAGAAAATGTAAACAACGAGTCCCGGATGACTCTAACACGTGTTAAACGAACTGTCAGTGTCAAAATGAAAAGTTATAAGTCAGACACATGTGATCATAAACAATCAATCTAGGGAAAACAATTTCGAAAAAGAGGAAAAGATTTAAGAGATAAATCATTGCATATGATCGTTAAAGTACCCAGATTACAGAAATCGCGAGTAACGGAGCTAAATTATGAGCGCGAGTCTTGCAATATTGTCAACAATCCCCAAGAACAATCGACAGAAAGGCGTCGAGCAGACACCTGGAATTAGACCTTTCCCGTCACCCGAGTCGGTCTCGGTTTTCCCCAAGACAAAAGAGAGACTAATCGGGAAGCGAGAAAGGGGACAAGGGTCCAATCCCCGAATAGTGGGAGAAAAACTATAAAAATCCGAAATTCAAGGTCTATTCTGTATTCCACGAAAGGTCGTGACTTGAATTGTGTTGTGTCGTAGTTTATAAAGTTTAATGGATGCTCCACCGGAAATACCGGTGTTGCATCACGGTACAACTACTCCTTTACAACACCCCTAATGACCATAAGACGAGTAATTTGTCCCAGTCTGTCGCCAACAACTTTGATCTCCGCCCTTCATTTCTCCGATCGTCCGCCTTGTCCAGCGACAGCATCTTGTCCGTCCCGGGGCTACGACCGATGCCGAAGTTCTCGCCTCTCCGCCTTTCCAACAAGAAGAACCTAGTGAAGGACTGTCAATTGTCGATGTAAGCATAAATGTTAACAAATAAACGGCTTTCTTGTGTAAAACACTTGTCATCATTTGCCTCCTTCGCCACAGCCCACATACAACCGTTCGTTAGATTCATCCTGACGCGGGATTAATTGATCCCACCTAAAAGACGGTAACCTTACACAGGTGCCGTGAAGTAGGTTTAAAGTCTCCTATTCTCGAAAAATAAATAATCGTAATAAAACTGAAAACTGTATTTTTTATGTAACTATATACAGTATTTGTATAACTTAAATAGTTAAATATTACTATTATTAATTAAAATAGACTTGTTTACTAGTGTATTCTGTTAAAAATAAAGAACATACAATCTAATTTATAATTAACATTATATACTATTGTAAGTTAAAATATACACAGTAGAATTTCTATTTCCTATCCTTTAGTTTACATATTTTTCTCCAGGTGGCCTGATAAAACCGTTAGCTCACTGCTTCAAAGTCACTTCCGCTTCTAGGATTGACTCGTTCTGTCGTTGAATTACAGTTAAGACTTTCTTTTGTGCCATTGTTTTCTTCTTAAGTTTGCTTTGTTATAAAGGTAAGTTACTCTCAAACATTTTAATTTTATGTTAGTATTTTAGATATAGTTTTCGTAATACAATAGAGTCTCTATAATCCGATATTCATCGGATCGATTTACTAGATTTTCTACGTTTGTAATGTACAGAAGGGGAAAATTATGCGCTTCCTTTCGGTGTGTCAAATCAGAGCTGACCAGTGTTTGTAGCCGTGTGGCTGGTAAAGAACCAGTGTTGTGCTTATTAATTAATTAATTGTCGGGTACCATAGTGTCACTCAATTGTGGAGAAAATATATTTCGAGTATTTTTTGTTGTGTTTTTAAAGAATTTGTGTACTGTGTTTAGAACGTGTAAACGGGAACATTTAAAAACATTTTACAAATGGTATGCAGATTCGATTCAGATCGCCAGTTGTTTAATTGTAAGATTTTGGGTATAAAAATAATTCGGTACATGAGAAACAAGATTACAAAGCAATTCGTGATAGGCAAATCGAAGAGTTATTAATTTTACGACGAGTAACTATAACATTCTCACCCATGGCGAAGTCTTTCCCAGGTGTAAAGACTATCACAGGTAAATGATCAGAAATTAAGTCTTGGTGTATAAGAAACTAAGACTCTGATCATAGTCTAGCACAGGGGTGCGCAAACAATTTTCTTTTTCGACCCCCATATTGTGAAAATTTTATCTCAACCCCTCAATAGACAGTTAGTATTCTATTTTTATGTACAGTAAAAACTGCTTAGGCGACCACCTGCAATCGACGGGACCTGCCAAAACGGGCAAAAATTTCTGGCACGGAATAGTTTATCCATAGAGTCTTCGTATAAGTTACCTGTATTAAACGACCACCTGCATAACACGACCGCGGGCATTGATTTTTGATCCGAAACAACATACAACAACTGTAATAAGCGACCACTTTCGCTAATGTATCCGGTCTAAACTATTGTTCGAACCCATCTCAACAACGTTTCTCCCTCATAATATAATGAATTAGTTTAAACTCTCGTTCGAACCCATCCCGGGCACTTCTCCCACCCTTGAAATTAGGTGCAGGTGTTAATAAATTAATCTAGCAACAAAGAAAATTCATTTCAGTTTGTTAGAAAATGTCCGAAAAACGAATGAAATGCAAATTACTGTCGTTAGAAGATCGTATTAAAATTATCACAACAGCAATTGGCAGCGAAGTTTTAACTGTGGGAAAACAAAATTTACTTTACCTACAGTATTTTCCTTGGGGTGTAAAATATTATACACGATACAATTAATCGGCTGATCTCATCGTTTGATAAAATTTATTTTTATTTATTTATTTATTTTGAAGCTCATATACAGTACATGTGCCGTAATAAAATAATAAAATCGTTTTATTATTTTATTAATAATTTTTCTTATTCTACTTAATTAATTAAGAAAATATTAAATATTTAAAAAAATACAGTATTTTTAAAGTTAAAATAGGATTAAACTAACGAAAACCAAAAGCAAAGTGGACATTCCAATTTTCAACGCTGACTCAGCGCTGATCTCAACATTCGTTAAAATTCGTTCCTTTTTTCAACGTTGAGGTAGCGCTGTTGTCAGCGCTGACTCAACACACTCAGCACTCAACAGATATGTTGACTGCTACTTTCCAATGAATTGTGGGTAATTGGTAAGACATTTGAATGGAATCCATCTTGCTGAGAATGGAATTATGGGAACTAAGCACTTCGTACTCGAGTTGGAACGTCGTTGATGACGTCAAATTGTTGACTTCAACACTCAACACTCGCNGTTAATGAATTAGTCTAGCAACAAAGGAAATTCATTTCAGTTTGTTCAAAATTGTCCGAAAAACGAAAGAAATGCAAAGTGCTGTCGTTAGAAGATTGTGTTAAAGTTATCACAACAGCAATTAGCGGCGAAGTTTAACTGGGAAAAGGAAAACGAAATTGATTTTACCGTAGACCTACAGTATTTTCCTTGGGGTATAAAATATTATACACGATACAATTAATCGGCTGATCTCATCGTTTGATAAAATTTATTTTTATTTATTTATTTATTTTGAAGCTCATATACAGTACATGTGCCGTAATAAAATAATAAAATCGTTTTATTATTTTATTAATAATTTTTCTTATTCTACTTAATTAATTAAGAAAATATTAAATATTTAAAAAAATACAGTATTTTTAAAGTTAAAATAGGATTAAACTAACGAAAACCAAAAGCAAACGGGACATTCCAATTTTCAACGCTGACTCAGCGCTGATCTCAACATTCGTTAAAATTCGTTCCTTTTTTCAACGTTGAGGTAGCGCTGTTGTCAGCGCTGACTCAACACACTCAGCACTCAACAGATATGTTGACTGCTACTTCCCAATGAATTGTGGGTAATTGGTAAGACATTTGAATGGAATCCATCTTGCTGAGAATGAAATTATGGGAACTAAGCACTTCGTACTCGAGTTGGAACGTCGTTGATGACGTCAAATTGTTGACTTCAACACTCAACACTCGCGTTGAAAATTGGAATGTCCCGAAAGTCATGGCAATAAGGAAGCGCTTGTATATCGATGACGTAATACACGTAACTGAGGAGCGAACGAAAACAACCGAGTCGAACTAATTAAGTCGGAAAAAAAGAAAGTGTGCATTATAATCGAGAAAATGCGAGTATTGTATTAATCTTTAAAATATTGGTATTAAATCTCTCTTATAATATGACCACGACTCATGTAAATCGGGTTATTCGATAAGAATAAAATACAATACCAATATAGTCCTATCGTTGAAAAAATTCGCTTATTTTTGCTCATCTCGAGTTTTGTTTAGTATAAATGGCTAAAACGTGCCCAAAATACGTTGTTACAGGACAGGTGGTCGTCCAATACAGAACAATCCTGTATTGGACGACCACCTGTCTAAAAGACCACTTTTTGAAGGAACCGTGGGTGGTCGCCATAGACAGGTTTTACTTATATATAATATAATACGTCCGTGTTTATTAGTTTGCTTCTCTGTTTTCTCTATACCATAATCTTTTATTTTTGGAGGAGGATTGTCAGCATTTATCCAAGTTTCCTGAATAGTGTATCAAAGTTACAATCATATTCACCTGCTATATTAATTATGTCTAAATATTGATTACTCAAGTTTCTAGCATTATATTACACTACAAAAAGACCCTTTCTAGAAAACTCAGCTATTTTTCTGTGTATCGATAGCTCATCTATTCTAAAAAGGCAATATATATATATACAATAAGGGTGCACCGATTAATCGGTAAGTAATCGGTAATCGGCCGTATCGGCCACTTAGCCGATTAATCGGTATCGGCCATTCCCCCCCGATTAATCGGCTTCGATAATCGATCAATTTTACATTTTGGTATTTTTGTTAGAATGTTACGTACAATGTTATTAATAAAAACTAATAAATTTCTATTATTTATTTATTACATGACAAACTGAATATTAAAAAATTTTTACTAATCAAATTATTCCTTTTATCGATACATAAGTATAATATAAAGTTTAAACTTTACATAAGAAAACATATTGAATAGCTTAAGAAGAAAAGTTAAATTTTTATTTGTTTTATAAGTTTAAAGTTTAAACATATAAAACAAATAAAAATTTAATATTTAAACTGTAAAACCCTTAAATTGTAATGCAAAAACAAGAGAATTTTATCATTTTCAGGGCATAACCTATTTTTTGCCGGCTCATAAATGTTACCTCCAGTGCTGAAAATTTTTTCACTTTCAATGGTAGATGCTGAGGCACTTAAATATTTCATTGCTATTTTGCTCAAATTAGGAAAAAGTTCTTTTGACTTTTTCCACCACAAAGATATGTCACTATGTCTTTGTTTAAGGGATAAATATAAATATGTTTCTAATTCTTGATCGAAACGTTTGTTCGTCTCGTTTTTTCTTTTTTTAAAAACATGCTATTCTTCATTCTTTCGTTTACCAGAAGCTAATTCATCAAATAAATCAGAAAAACTTAGAAATTCACCTCCATCTTGATCACCTCCAGAAGTAGAAGCTTCAGAATTTAATTCTTATTAAGATTTTCTCTACCATATTTTCTTTTTGAAATTTCATTTTGAATCTAATAAAAATGACAAGCATAAAGACTTGTATTCTATATATGCTGAAAATCTTTTTTTTTATTGCAGGGGTGCACAACCTGCGGCCCGCGGGCCACATACGGCCCCCTATCAATGTTTATGCGGCCCGCNTTAAATAATATCGAAGTTTCCATGCGTCAACAATTAAGTGTTGAGATTTATTTTAGAAACAAAGGAAGAGATTGTTGATTTTGCGAGGATATTCGATCGTCTCTTGTTTACCTGACCTGAGGGAGATGGAAATACCAAGTGGAGAAAAATGGGGTTTTTCCACATTATAATTAACTGTATAATTAACTCCAGGATCTCAAACTATTAATGCAATAAATTATTAACACTAATCGGCCGATTAATCGGTAATCGGCCATTTTGCTTATCGGTGCATCCTTAATATACAAATGTTGAGACTCGAACTCAGGGAAAAGTATACACTCTTTTAAATACTTTTACCTTACATTTTTCGCAATTTCAAAGAATTATTTTGATTATTTTTGAATATATTGTTTCCAATAATTTTTTTTTATCGGCAAAAATTATTAGAGTTACAGATTCACAAATTGTATTGAAATATTTAGGATACGCGTACAAAGGTTTATACAATTAAACACAATTATCTGAGATTATTAATTGTTAATTTAATATATATTAAGGAAATATATTATTGTATATATTGTGTTTTAATATCTACACTATAATGTATATTAACAATATAAAAAAGTTTATTAAACTGTGTTTTTTATTTCTTTATTTTGACATTTTACACTAATCAAACTATACTATATGTAGTTACAAATTAAGAATAAATTATTTTATCTTAAATATATTTCTTTTCTATCTCATACTGTCATATGTGTTTACATTATTACTTTATTTTTTATATAGTTTTTTCAATTTATACTTTTTTGTTTGATCGTCGATTTAAATATATTTTCAACTATATTTATAGTATGTTTCTGTATGCTTTTTTTAATGTCCTTAGGTAAGCACAATGTTGGAAAATTTACCTTTTCTTTCAGACAAATGCTGAGATAACAGATGTCGTGTTATAGTCTTGTATATTTTGAGTTATTTGGTTCATTACGTTGGGAGAATATACAGTAAAATTATGATACAATATATTGAAAAACTAATTGCCTGTATTATCAATTTACAAAAAAATAATACTTAACTAGAACTAATGAAGCAAATTATTATACTACCATCGTTTTTTAAATCATATTTTTAATTTATTTAATATAAAATATATGCTCTTCACCTCAAATTAGTAGTGTTTTGTCTATGTTCATCGTACTTTTCTCTTAACAATACAGTCGTGCCGGTTATTTATCTAACATCTTTCGGGAGAATATTTTGAATCGAGATAACGTAATTTCCGGTTGGTATTAAAAGTTCTTATAATCCTCCTGCCCTTACGCTTTCTATATCTGGTCTTGACTTTTACGTATCTAGCTACTTTCTCGAGATTAAAAAAGGACAGACAGTCGGCAGTGGGGATTTATAGGTCTAAAATTTTTTCAACTTGCAGCCCAATAATATATACTGTTTAAGAATAGAGATAATCCACACATACTGTAACAGACAACCTGGAATCAATCATTTCATCAAAGAAGTAACTGATAATAAACATCAACGATTGATAATAAATTACAATACAATGTTCACATTAAACACTTCCTATATGGCCCGAGTTATTGGACTATCTACGAAATTATCTTTAAAAATATAGCAAATAGATGATATAGAGCTAGTGGAACTGTACGCAGACAAAGAAAACTACTTAGGGAAAACACGTGCGTCTTTGGGTTGGATATCTACTGAAACGCGGTGCTTTATTTGTTTCTAATTGTAAATGCATGTCATTCATTCTCGTATTGATAACTATGCAAATGTTGAAAGAAAAAAAGAAATATCTTAATTTCAACATGGTAGGGTTTCTTGGAAACACTGATTTGGGAAACAACTCCTCCAGTGTGATAGTTGAGCCTCGATTCACGTTTGGATCTGTATTCTGTAAGTGTACTAAATAGAGAACACAGTGCGTTAAATTAAACAGGGACTGAACAACTACAAAATAAATAAGTTTTCTTTACTTTTTGTATCGTATTTTATATAATTTTTAATTCTTTTCAATTAAAGATTAAACCCCAAATTTCTTCTTTTTCATGAAAACATCCCTTACGAAACTTATAAATAAAAGAATTGTTAATCTAAGATTTTGCTTCCTTTTATCAAAGAATATTTATATTATTATATTATGAAATGAAATTTTGCTGGTAATGTATATAAGTGTTTATTTCGAAGTCATTTATTTGATGTTTCAATACATTTTTTTACTTATTTTCTATCTGAAATATAAGATTTCCCTTTCTGCTGTAAATGTAATATTTTATAATATGAAATAAAATAAAATTCGTACTTGTTTAAATTAGAAAAATCCCAGAAAGGAATGCTTTTAGAGTCCTAAATTAAAAGTTTGGCAATTTTTTGTCCATAGAGAAGGGAACATTTTAAGGGTTGGGAGAGATGCCGTTATGGTAATTGTGTCATTAGCATTGTTTAAATTCAGTTAATGCTTGTAGAGATGTAATTCCATAATGGTCCCTGGGGAACCTTCATTTTACAACGTGATTCCTAGAATTGCTTGGTTTAATATAATTCACTTTACATTACAATCTTTTTTATGAATCTGGCTTCGTTCAATTACTACCTGATATAAAAACTGTTCGATTTATTCCACCTTTGTATGTAATTTTTTAATGAATGTTAAAAAGATATTAAAACATTACTCCATTTTACTAATCATTCATCTGTTTTTAAATGGCCTACTCTGTCTTTCCTTTATATATCTTAGAGACTTAGACTAAAAAAAAGGTGCATGAACACAAAAGGTACTGTATGAGAAGCGCTGCTATAACACGTGATGTGTCTATTATCTATACTGTATAACTTTGCATTTTAAAATTAAATAGATTATTTATATAAAACATATATTTGTAAATTTAGATAACAAATTTATAGTTATAAGTATTTAATCTGAAATTTAAAGTAATTCGTTTATTTATTATTTTATTGGCTCTGTTTTTAGGTGACTTCAGCAACATCATAAAACCGATAGTTAAAACTGTTTCAAATACACTTCTACTAGCATTGACTTGTGGTGACGTTGCAACTAAGACTTTCTTTTGTGTCTTTGTTTTCGGTATTTTTCTTGATAAATTTGCTTTATTATAAAAATAAGTTACTAATAAACATTTAAATTTTATATTTGTATTTTTGATATACAAGGTATTTTTCGTAATACAGTAGAGTCTCTATAATCCGACATACATAGTGTCGTCGGGGATCGGTTTATTAGATTTTCTACGTTTGCAATCTCTTAGATATGTACCGATTCTGTGATCCGTACATTTCTGGGAGATTTTTGGCAACAAATGTCAGGAAATCCGTCTATCGGGGTCGCTTCTTTTTGATCAGAATATGTATTTGATTAAATGCATTTCGAACTTAATACCTCTCTTCAGTCCTATTATAACAAATATATCGGTAAAATATTATGTAAATCTTACATAATTTTTTTTACCTAAATGCATAGACGTTTGTGTTAATAAACCTACTTTTTCCATTCAAAGTTTTCCTGTATCATTTGTTTTCAACATCAACCTTGTGCTAATTCCGAACGAAATACATGTAATTAGGCGTGCAGCAAGCAATCAAATTCAGAGTATAATGTTTAAATTAAAAAATTTATATAATTATGTGTACAATGGGATTAAATAGACTTGGCCTAATATTACGTAATGAAAAGGGGATATTCATTGATGTTAATCGGTCAGGAAATCACATGAAATTACCATACGTGGTCCATAATGTACTGTACAAGCGGGGCGTTATAACTTCATGGAGCTCAGGCAAATTTAAATTAGGTGGCCTCCTGTAGTGTTGACTTTAAACGTTTTGGTATTTGTTTATAAGCCATACACTAACGTTTCCTCTCTTAATTTTATTTACAATTTCTATTTTAAAATATAAACTAGTTATATAATAGTAATATACATATAATTTATGTAAGATAGGTGACTAATTCCATATAAAGACTTTTGTTTTGAAATAAAGTGCTTTATTTAAAACAATAGATGAGACGTATTAGAGCTGTACTGAACTTTTTGCGTTCACGGGCCAATCTTTTTGGGAAATTAAATAATCATTAAACGGAGTTTAAAGACTGAAGCGGTAAGAAATAGAATAAACTGCGGTTCTAATCCTTTGAAAAACTGGGTTCGATTGCCTGTCAATCTCTGGCATTGTTTATATAATAATAACAAAAGTGATAGAATAATGCAGTTTTAAAAGATAGTTAAAGACATTTTAAAATAATTTTATTAACGTAACGTATGAAATTGTAAAGTTTTAAATGAAATTCGGTCTTGACCCAGTAATAAACCGTTAGAGCTTGGAGATGCTAAGTTCACTCCGTCATCAAGTTAACACTCTGAATTCTGTTATTAATTTTTATTTATAAATCGTTTGTTGTGTTTGTTAGTAAATAGTAAAAAAAAAAAATAATTAAATGGTGTCAACATTGTCCCAACTTTATCATTAAACAGTATACAATTAATTATGGTACTTTCATAATATTTCCCAAAGTTTAAATGATTTTACAAGACTGATAAAGCATGAGAAATGAAGTTCAAAATGAATAAAATGAACATATAGAGATTACTACAGAACCAATTTTCTTTTCAGTCGAACATGAAAAATAATAGTAATAAAGGCTGGTAGTCACGTCCTCTTAATGTTCACAACGGAGAAAGGGCCAAAAATTATTTGTAATATATATAATAGGATAATTAATTTTTGCATTTATTATTAATCTATCATTAACTCATTTAATATAGCCAATAACATAATAATGTGTCGGCTGCGAATTACAATATTTAATTTTACATATACTGTATTATATTGTAATTAGAAACGACTTATTATGTTACTGGTCATATTTAAATGAGTTAATAATGATAATAATAATAATAATAACGAACAAATTTTTGCATCATTAGTTATTATTATTACTGATATATGAAACAACAAAGGTAAAACCGCTGGCTAACGACAATAGTTCTATCATGATATGAATTACAATGATAAATATCAGTCAGCTGCAACAACAGATGTCTAATGTATTGTAAATAAATATAACTCAATTTTGCTTAAGATATGAAAGAGATTAGGTCATTTAAAATCAGAATAGAATTATTAGTTACTAGCAGATGAGCCCGGAGTTACTCGGGCAAAAAGTAACGATAGCGTAGATTAAGATTATTATATTATAGCCGATCTTACCTGTCTTCACCGGGTGTAATAATTTGATCCCTTCCTCTTCCAAAGCTGATTAGAGAATTTTCAGATGGGTCTAAAAGTCTGTTCGATTTCCCGAAAAAACGCAAAAAACCGCATCTAAAATAGTACAGTAGAAGCCGAGTTCATTAGGGTAAGCCTTAATCCTCTCTCTGCACCAAAGGGGGAATTTCGGAAGATCCTTTCTTACACTAACTGTACCAANTCTAATGTCTTGATGTAAATAAATATAACTCAATTTTGCTTAAGATATGAAAGAGATTAGGTCATTTAAAATCAGAATAGAATTATTAGTTACTAGCAGATGAGCCCGGAGTTACTCGGGAAAAACTAACGATAGCGAAGATTAAGATTATTATATTGTAGCCGATCTTACCTGTCTTAACCGGGTGCAATAATTTGATCCCTTTCTCTTCCGAAGCTGATTATAGAATTTTCAGATGGGTCTAAAAATATGTTTGATTTTCCGAAAAAAACGCAAAAAACCGCATCTAAAATAGTACAGTAGAAGCCGAGTTCATTAGGGTAAGCCTTAATCCTCTCTCAGCTCCAAAGAGGGAATTTCGGAAGATCCTTTCTTATGATTATCAGCACAAAACCTTTCTTACTAATTTCTAGCCTTATTAACAGGCTAGAAATTAGTGAGAAAGGTTTTGTGCTGATAATCTTAGAAATAGTTCTAGCTTCATATGCATAGTAATCCTTTCTTACACTAACTGTACCAAATTTCAACTGTTTAACACCTAACCGTTTGGGCTTTGCACTAATTATTCTTATTAACATCAATCCATCTCTATTATATCATAAGATTTATCGAATTATCATACGTTGTTGTATGTTGAATTTAATTCATATTTAAAATGGGATGATGCTTTAATATTTCTATTCACGATGACTTTTTAACAATCATTTAAAAATTATATGCCAATACGGAATGAATCAAATAATTCTTATAATCACAGTTATTGGCAGAAGCTGGATTGATACACACAAAAAAAATTTAANACAGGAAGGTGGAGAGTCCGTAAATAGTTTCTGTTTCTACAGATTTTTATATGGGTGACCACTCAAACATTCTCTGTATTTTGTAAATGTCTGTTATGCATGTGTCGATTGTAAATAAAATTAAGAGAGAAAGAGGTGGCGTATTGTTTAGAAATAAATACAAAATTTTTTAATAAAAGATTTGTTAGGGACGACCAGTTTGTGAAACCCCAAGCAACAGATTTTTTATCTTATAAAATAACGCACCACTGTAATTACCAATGCAGCAAAAAACACTAGAATGTTTCGCATTTGCAACAAACAACTAATAATAACGTACCCGTATTGCGCTATACCTCATTCTATCTCGCACATACCAGGTGAATAGAAAATTTCATTTGTGCCAGTCTGTCGGGGATCACTGAATCCGTCGGAATATCGAGAATCTACTGTATTGTATTATTTTCTATAGTAATACGGTTTTTATTCTAAATAGGATTTTTCTACAGAATGTCTGAAAGCGAAATCAATGGTTCCGAAGAGGATTTCAATCAGATGACATATGTCTCTGAATATGTCTCCGATCTAAGTAGTTCTAAAGATAAAGACTATGGGCCTAAACATGATGTGGCCACTCCCTCCACTTCGACTGCACATTCTGGCAGTGATGACGAAATGGAAGATCAGGAATACCGGGAAGTTTTTTCACCAGAAGAACCTCAACCTTTTCCCTTTCCTTTTCGTGAGGTATCTGGCCCAAAAAATATGCCTCCTCCCGATTCTCCTCCGATCGCATATTTCTATCTGTTTTTCAATAGTACGTTGCTGTCTATTATGGTGGATGAAACCAACCGGTATGCGCACCAAGTCTTAAATCGTATGGGGAATAACGTACCGTCTTGTTTGAAGAACTGGACCAAAGTCTCTGTTCCAGAGATGAAAGGATTTCTGGCATGTATTTTAAATGTAGGTCGCATGGAATCATCAGATCAATCTATATACTGGTGCACTTCTCCCATCCAATCCGATTCGTGGTTTCGGGAAATGTTTTCTAAACAGCGGTTTTATGAATTGTTAACTTTCTTTCATCTCGTGGATGACAGCAAGTTGCCTGATCGTGGAGTACCGGGTTATAATCCCTGTGCCAAATTCCAGCCTCTGTTGGATCATACAAACAGAGTCTTCCAAAACTATTACACACCGCACCAAGAAATATCTGTTGACAAAATTAATGTGGGTTTCAAATTCTGGATGATGATCGACTCGGTATCTAGCTATTGTTTGGGATTTTTCGCTTTTGAACCGTCCAAGTCTCTGCAGGAGGATCGCAGCAACTCAGAATTAGGTTTAGGCTATACTGTTGTGCAAAAACTGCTAGAGATTGGTATGTATGTGAACAAAGGGTACCATTTTTTCATCGAAAGGTGTTTCATGTCGGTGCCCATAGTTCGCCGTCTGTATTCTTTGCAGACTTACGTCACCGGAACTGTTCGGGGGGACCACAAATTGCTACCCCAACAGTTTAAGAAGAAATTTGCAGCCGGAGAAACATCGTATTTCCGATCTGGTCCCGTGTTAGCTTGCGGCTTTAAAGAGAGGCAGTCACAAAAGAAGCCCATCTTTATATTATCCAGCCACGCATGGGCACGAAATGTAGAAGTAATTAGAAATGGAAAGGCTAAAATGAAGCCAGAAATAATTCAAAATTATAACAAATTTATGAGCGGTGTCGATATATCCGATATGGTGTTATATTCATCTTATGATAAAAGTAAATCAATGAAGTATTGGAAGAATTTAGCGTTCAACGTCATAGCCAGGATGGCGTTGAACAGCTTTATTCTTTACAAAGAGAATTTTGCGGGACCAGGGAAACGGAAATCTCGACACGCGTATCACGTGGCCGTAATAGAGAGCTTGGCAGAGGAGTGGATGACTAAAAACAAGAAGAAGGAGGCGATCACGAACTGTTTGCACAAATTGTAAGGAGGGGCTACATGAAGAATGATTCTCTATGCGTAAATGCTAACAACAAACGGTATATGCACAGTTTAATATAATTCTGTATTAAAGACCTATGAATGCATAAATTTCACAACAAATTGTACAAAACGATATTCATTTACGTACAGATTTGGTCCTTGACGATTGGATTTTGTATTTTGAAATATAATTCTACAGTGATATTGATTGACATACGTTTGACGTCATCAGAGTGGGCTACTAGAGAAGAAGATAAAGATGTGTTATAATTTTGTAACGAATAAGACTGTATACATGCATCTTATATGGAAATGTACAGAACAATGTTTTCACTGTTCCTAGAATAATGCCAAAAATTTACGGATTTCATTTTATTCGGAAAATTTTGTTATATTAATGTGTAAATTTTCAAGTTATTAATGTAAGTAATCACATGTTGTTAAAGTGACTTTATAATAGCAAGAATTGAAAAATACTGTACTAATGACTACTTGTAGTAATTATCTGATATTTTTTCTACGTCTATAATAAAAATTAATTTTATTTTTAAAATTTATAAAATTGTGGAGTTATGTTTTGTTTGAGTTTTTATATACCAGTTTGTAACCAGCGCTTATATGATAAGGGCTGTACTGTACATGTAAGGAAAATTCGTTAATCTAAATCTAACGTTTTTAATGTATAAATATTTTAAATTTCTAAAAAAAATTGTAAAATCTTTTTAAATGCTTATCGAAAAAGGCAAAGTTTATTTAGAAATTCGTAGGTAGTTAAGTTCATCCAATTTACACCTTTATAATTTCCGTATCTTTTTGAAAATTTTTCAAATTTTTAGCGAGTTCGTGTATTAGGGAGATAAATGCCATTAAATTTGAGTGGATAAAGGACTAGTGAGGTGTATTATCGAATTTCAAGTGGAGGCGAACTTAATTTTGTTAATCGTCATTAGCATTTATAATTTATAGAACTAATTTCTCCTCAAAATTAAGGTTTTGAATATAAATGTATACAGTATTTTTATATTATGATGACGTTCAGAGGGTGTTTAGAAATGCAGAATATTAATAGTGAGAGACAGTCATTTGAATTATTGCAACACTTCATTCCACACTTATACTGATTTTCTCATAAGTAATTTGCTTTTGATTCTTATTGCAATATACAATTTTATATTTGTATATTCATTAGATTTATATAAACTTTATATTGATATTTGTACATACAAATGAATGGAAAAATCCAATATAATAGCTTATTTCAGTTTAATCACATCGTAGATTTATTTTTTTGGTATAAGCTAAATATCATTGTATTTTGAGTCATATTTTCTTAAAAACATCATATCATTAAGTCTTATATATTACAATAAATTGTATTTTAGTTAAAACTAATAGTTATATTCCTCAGAAAATATACTTACTGTATATACAGTATATAAAAAGGGATTATCAGTACATATACAGCATTATTTCTAAAAATGTTTTTGAATATAATTATTTTGTCTCTTTAATATAAAAAAAAAAAACTTGCAGAAAAAGCCTTATAACAAATTTACGCCTACGACCTCAAAGGAACGTAATTCTGTATTGTGCAAAATAATCAATTTAGAGAAATATAAAAATTAAGGCTTTCCTGTCTTTAGCTGTATGATGTGATAGTGGAGCCGTATAAATGTGAAGAACGAAATTTAAAGTTTTATTAATAATTTAAAGAACAAGTAGTCAATGATTAGTTGTTCATTAAATGTGATTAGTAATCATATTTAATCTGGCACTTTAAATTAGTTAAAATTCGCTATAATGTTTAAATTTAGCAACGAGTTTCGTCACTTTCTCGGCGGAAAACGGTGAGAGGAAGAGAGCTGAAGGTTTAAATCACGGATTCGAACGCAACTTCTTAGTTAAACACAAACAACTCTGTACAAATAATAGGACCCACTTCCCAGGCATTACCAAAAAACAGCCGATTATATGAAGTGCTGGAGTCACAGGATATCCGTTCACTCCATTTTATTTCTTTTTTACTTGTAACAATTATGTTACGGTATTATTATCACTATTATTATTCCTCGTGCTTATGAAACAAGAGATTAAAAATCGTGACATCATTTCCTGTTTAATGAAAAAGAAGTCTGTAGATGAAATTCTGATGTCGTTAAATAAACTTATTTCTTTATCTATCTATCTTCTCAGCAATATTAGCTATTATATTAATAAATAAACACATCTGATTTATATTTGCCGATTTAATTTTCTTTATTCTAACGTTTTCAGCTTATTTGTATAGGCTGATTTGGCAAAACTGATTTGTTTTCATTCATTTTTCAAATTTAATGGAACGATATACAAGCAAAAGAAAGGAGTTCCCATGGGAAGTCCTATGTCAGGACTCCTATGTGAACTTGTAATAAGGAAATTGGAAAAGAACACCCTCAAATATTTCTCCGATTGTAATTGTATTGTAATATACAAACGCTACGTTGATGATATATTAATAATTTGGAAAGATGACCAACGCATTAATGATTTAACAGCAATCAACAACAATGAGCACGGATTGAAGCTAAAATTAGAACAAAAAAGCCGAAAGAACATCCATTTCTTGGATATTAACATGGAATTCAAACTAGGAAACATACAAACGAGCGTATATTTGAAACCAACACACGCTCCTTTATACATACCTGCATGGCCGAAAGACCCGTATAAAATATAAATTATCTGCGTTTGAGGCACTGATCAAAAGGGCCTTCTTGTACTGCACCAATGTACAAGACCAGGATAAGGAAATTGATAGAATTTAACAGGTAGCGAGGAGTTTAGGATACAGAATGTCCACAATCAAAGGCCTTGTAAAAAGCTATGGTAAACAAAAAGCTACAAATGCAAAACATAACAACAATACTACATTCAACAGTTTCACATACAATGAACAAACAAGGAAGGTAGTGAAGGAGTTAGGAAAATACAAAAACGCAAAGATAATCTATAAACGAGCACCCAATATTTATCGATTATTAAGAAACGACAAGGACAAAATTGAGATGGAAGAGCAACCGGGTGTGTACAGTATCCCCTTTGAGAACCAACAATTAGGTATTGATAAAGAGTATATAGGAGTGACCAGAAGGAACCTTAAGGTACGAGTAAAGGAGCACAAATATAGTGTAAGGAAAAAACTCAATAGCACAATTTTAGCAAGTATGGCACAGTCAGACGGAGCAGTAATCAAATGGGATGAAGCCAAGATTGTTAGAACGGGGCACTCACCTTCCATCGCAATGGAAATGGAAAAAATAGAGATTTACAAAAGTAAGATGAGGGACAGATGCCTAAATGCAAAAGATGCAAAAGCATTACCAACGGCTTGGAAATATAAAATTGAAAAAAGTATGGGTTTTAATAATCCATAAACATTTGTATGATCTGGTGTTTTTAGGAATTAGTAGTTCAGACTCAGTTAAAAATGATATAATTTTTTGTTTTTATATTTTTGTTTTTTAATGTTAAGTTGCAACACGATTTTAGATTATATTTTATCATATATTTATTTTAATTTACGTTTTTCATGTTATTGTTAAGTTGCAACACGTTTTTAATATTATTGTTAACTATTTATTTATACACATAAGTTGTTAAAAGTTCAAATTCAAATGAATTTCGAACTATTGGTTCCATTGGAACGAACAACATTAAAGCCTGAGGATGGCCTATACAAATAGGCTGAAAACGTTAGAATAAAGAAAATTAACTCGGCAAATATAAATCAGGTGTGTTTATTTATTAATATAATACTTATTTCTTTATGTTAATTTTCAGATTTGATTGTATTGTTATATTTGATGTGTACCAAACATCAGCGCAGGAGGAAATTGTCCATAGGATTAATAATGAAAAAATTATCTTTTTATATTTTTATTTATTATAAAATGGCAAAAAGCTTAATTTTCAGGTTAGGGATAGGTTTTATAAAAAATTGTAAATGATAATAAGAAGTAAAATCGTCATTAAGTCGGATCTCCATTATCTCTCCACTCCCTCGACCTTTAACAATTAAATGTAATAGCATCAATCCCTCTAATACACAAACCTTTCTGCAAAATGTCAGAAATTTCCGAATAAAAGCACAAGAGTTATTAAGCTTCAAACAGGGTGAACAAAATTGTACTTAACACATACTAACATCTATATATAGAGAAATTACTCTAGTTTACCGGATCACCATAATTTCCCTCTGTTATAACAGCCGGGAAAGTAATAAGGCATAGTGAACAAGGCAATAAAACAAAATCGGTCATTTCAAGTAACTAAAGTCAACGTCAGTTTAACAATTTAGAAATGTTACTTAACACCCTGAAGCTAAAAACGGGAGAAAAGGTCAAGGTGGTCCGAGTACTGAAATCTTTATCCTTATACTATGTTCGCACACAATCCACGACTCACTTCGATCTCGATTTACCTACAATCTGGATTGTGACTGTCGCTAGTCGAACGTCCTGCTGTTCTCACAGGCAGTCCGCTCGAGAAGAACCTGGCTATTACATGTGATCATAAAACTGACGTAACTACGCGGTAAGTCACAAACACCAACAAACAAAATGGAAGTTTTGGTTAGAAATAAATACTTTTTATTGCCATACATCTAATAATAGACAGATGTCGTCGTCTCTCCAGACGTCTTTTTTATTTTTTCTGTCGATAGCCCGACACGTGTTCAGCAACCATCTTGTATTTTCTCGCGCGCGTGGGATTGTGGGATCTCTCTTATGACTGGATCTAGTTTCGAAAACTCTCTCCAGTCGATCGCGATTGAACCTCGTTTCAGTCGAGATTGAAACGGTCGAGAGCGTTCGCACCACGGAACAGTCTCCGACCTTAGTCGCAATCTAGATCGACATGATCGGTGCGAACGGGGTATTAAGGTCACATAATACGAGTCGTGGTACAGCTCAATTGGTACCAATTTTAAATTCGATTTTACTAAATAAATAGTTCCTAGACGTAACTACGTGACGGTATTTTATTCATTTTTTGTATTGTCGGAGCGATATAGCTGTGTAGCTGTTGCCCTACCTCAGCATAAACCCGGGATCTCTGGAATTCGAAGGATTCGTTGAGAGCCGATAAAAAAATCAGATCATTTTTGTGCTTTTCCATTCTTTTTTATAATTTTCAAATAACGATCATGCGGGAACTCATTAACTGTTTGAGTAGCGCTACTATAACACGTGTGAGGTCTCAGACGAGGTCCGAAATCGCGTAAATCGCGGTATTCTTAGGAAAATCCCTTAATCTAAACAACGCAGCAGAAAATGTAAACAACGAGTCCCGGATGACTCCAACACGTGTTAAACGAACTGTAAATATCAAAATGAAAAGTTATAAGTCAGACACATGTGATCATAAACAATCAATCTAGGGAAACAATTTCGGAAAAGAGGGAAAGATTTAAGAGATAAATCATTGCATATGATCGTTAAAGTACCCAGATTACAGAAATCGCGAGTAACTGAGCTAAATTATGAGCGCGAGTCTTGCAATATTGTCAACAATCCCCAAGAACAATCGACAGAAAGGCGTCGAGCAGACACCTGAAATCGGACTTTTCCCGTGACTCGAGTCGGTCTCGGTTTTCCCCAAAACAAAAGAGAGACCAATCGGGAAGCGAGGAAGGGGACAAGGGTCCAATCCCCGAATAGTGGGAGAAAAACTATAAAAATCCGAAATTCAAGGTCTATTCCGTATTCTTCCACGACAGGTCGTGACTTGAATTGTGTTGTGTCGTCGCCAACAACTTTGAACTCCGCCCTTCATTTCTCCGATCGTCCGCCTTGTCCAGCGACAGCATCTTGTCCGTCCCGGGGCTACGACCGACGCCGAAGTTCTCGCCGCTCCGCCTTTCCAACAAGAAGAACCTAGTGAAGGACTGTCAATTGTCGACGTAAGCATAAATGTTAACAAATAAACGGCTTTCTTGTGTAAAACACTTGTCATCATTTGCCTCCTTCGCCACAGCCCACATACAACCGTCCGTTAGATTCATCCTGACGCGGGATTAATTGATCCCACCTAAAAGACGGTAACCTTACACAGGTGCCGTGAAGTAGGTTTAAAGTCTCCTATCTCCATCTGGTCGGCTACCTTACACTGGCGTCAGACATTGGATTTTTTAGGCCCAATCTACACCAGTTCTAATCTTACACACGTGTTGTGTCTATTATTATAAATAAAATACTGTATTTTATTTCCAAACAGAAAAGTTTTTATGTAATATCGGTTCCATTTTTTGCATACAGTATATATTGTTGTTATATAACTTTGCATTTTAAAATTAAATAGATTAATTATATAAAACATATATTTGTAAATAGTTAAATATTACTATTATTGATTAAACTAGACGTGTCTACTAGTGTATTCTGTTAAAAATAAAGAACATACCAACTAATTCATAATTAAAATTATATACTATTGTAAGTTAAAATATTTTCACGTTCAATGGTACACAGTAGAATTTCTACTTCCTACCCTTTATTTTACATATTTTCTTCCAGGTGGCCTGATAAAACCGTTAGTTCACTGCTTGAAAGTCACTTACGCTTCTAGGATTGACTCGTGGTGTCGTTGAATTGCAGCTAAGACTTTCTTTTGTGACATTGTTCTTGGTATTTTTCTTGATTTTGCTTTATTATAAAGGTAAGTTACTCTCAAACATTTTAATTTTATATTGGTATTTTAGATATATTTTTCGTAATACAGTAGAGTCTCTGTAATCCGACATACATTGGATCGCTTTACTAGATTTTCTACGTTTGTAATCTACAGGATCGGTACATATCTGGGAGATTTTTAGCAGGGAAAGTCAGGGAAGGGCATCAAATGTCAGGAAATCCATCTTTCGCTCTTGCACACTTCCGATATGATTCGAGTTATTGAACTATCTAAGAAATTATGTGTAATAATCTTTAAAAATATAGCAAAACGACGATATAAGGTCTACATACTAAACCTTTATTGTCCGGTACTTCTTAACTATTCATAAAAACAAACGTTTTCGGCCTCAGTCGCGGTCTGCTTCAGGTTAAAAGAACAATCGGACTCCACTCTTAGAATGAACGTTTAGTTTTAAAATATAACCGAATTCATGCGCGTGTTACGTATTGTCATCGTTTTCTTGTTCTTCGCATACGTAACGCCAAGCATAGGTCTGTGTTGAAAGAAAGATAATATTTTGAATAATTATTCAAAGCTCCGCTCTTAAATTCGAGAGAAAACGAGTATAAATACTATCGAATAATCTACACTACTATGATTCTGCCTCTGCTTATTATCAACAAGAATACAACAGATTGTGATGTTCGTTTGCCATTGATATCCTACTCGTACTTCTTTCCGCTTTCTGATTTTTCTACTTTTCATAAGGATAAAACGTCTTGAAACTAATTATTGTGCCTTGGTTATTCTATATCCGAGAAACAAGCTATACTGAGCGAAGAGTTATTGTTTATTCTTATAAGAATTTATTGGTTTAACAAGTCGTTTAAATTACACAATTTGGCTTAAAAGCAGGTTCATATGCATAGAAGGGATTTTAGTTTTTACAATGTAGGTGTTCTACATAGAGAACACAGTGCGTTAAATTAAACAGGGACTGAACAACTACAAAATAAATAAGTTTTCTTCACTTTTTGTATTGTATTTTATATAATTTTTAATTCTTTTCAATTAAAGATTAAACCCCAAATTTCCCCTTTTTCATGAAAACATCCCTTACGAAACTTATAAATAAAAGAATTGTTAATCTAAGATTTTGCTTCNGGGATCGAATCCGGTCGGGTCAAGGAATCCCCAGGAATTTTTCGGGGGTGGTCCGTTCGGATATGTCGGGCCCCGTCCCTCACCACCCGGTCGCCCTATTGTGGGCTTGACCGAACCCATAATGGGCCTGCTTTAAGAGGCCCTTTTAGTGCCCACAGGGCGGAAAGAGTTAAAATAAAATAAAAATACTCTCGTACTTGTTTAAACTATAAAAAACCCACAAAGGAATGCTTTTAGAGTCCTAAATTAAAAGTTTGGCAATTTTGTCCATAGAGAAGGGAACATTTTAAGGGTTGGGAGAGATGTCGTTCTGGTAATTGTGTCATTAGCATTGTTTAAATTCAGTTAATGCTTTTAGAGATGTAATTGCATAATGGTCCCTGAGGAATCTTCATTTTATAACGTGATTCCTAGAATTGTTTGGTTTAATATAATTCACTTTACATTACAATCTTTATCAATCTGGCTTCGTTCAATTACTACCTGATATAAAAACTGTTCGATTTATTCCACCTTCGTATGTAATTTTTTAATGAATGAGTGAAGATCTTAGTGATGTTCTTTCCCAACTCCGTCTCGTTGAGTTGGTTTCCGTGTGTATCACGATTCGATGTAATGATCCAGGTTTGATGGAAAGCACACCTCCTCACTATATGTAGAAGGTACTGTACAAATTCGAAAGCATAATACATATATACAGGATAACAATGCATGGTGACTCATGTACTAGCTTGGTTTCTGGGACCTTTTAAACTTTGAAGAGACCTCAGCCAGCTCGTGGAGTTGGCTCAACTGCACGGTCCGTCCAGTCTCGGCACTAGTGATGTGCCGGATATCCGTATCCGTATCCGTTACTTTTTAGCGGATCTTTAACGGATCTTTTATCTTAATGAATTTCATTACTTATATGAAATTTTAAAGATAGGTAGCAATAGCACATTCGTCGTTTACTATCGTAAAATATTTCCATATTACACTACTAAACTTTTTTGTCGACATTGTTTTTATTTTATTTAACTCAACACTCTCCAAAAACACAAACCTAATCTACGCTATCTCGTGTCACACTAGCCACAAACCAGTGTTTCCCAACGTGGGGCCCACGCCCCACAGGGGGCAATTGGATTGCTAAGGAGGGCAATTCGAAAATGGACTTGTCCAGAGTTTAAGTTAACCGTATAGCCGCTGTGTATGTTAAGAAGACATAAGAATTTTAGAAAGGCTTAGGTGGGGCGTAGCACAAAAAAGGTTGAGAAACACTGCACTAAATTATTGTGGCGGTACGCTATATTTTTGTAAATATTAATTTTAGTTTAGTTTCGTTTCTTCTTTCTACCCTTTGTTCTATTCTATTTTCTTCTAGAACTTTCTTATCTATTCCCTGTCCCTTGGGTGGGATGAGCAGTTCCTAGAAATTTGAGGAGCAAAGGTGTAAGCAGGAGCCGGAGGAAAAAGAGAAGTGACGTAGCGGGTCATTCGTAAACCGGACGTCAGAGTGTACGGACGAGGTGAGAATACTGGGAGTCGTATTTTCAATGACCGGATAGTTCAGAAAAAAGATCATGTTTTAAGGTCGTATTGACGACTGTGGAAGGAAAAAATCCTAATTATTGTAGAAGAGAAGTGGCCAGTTATAGGAGAAGGACGTGTGTTATCCCACCCAATAGTACGCATAAAGAAACTAGCCGAAAAAAGGGACGAAACCCTAGATATCCCTATTTCTATCTTATCTACCATTTTTTCTGTTATCTTAATTCGATCCCTTTTTCTGTTATTAGTGTTAAGTTAGTGTTTAAGGTTAGTTTTAAGGTTCCGGGTTATATTGTCGCGATCGGGATCTGTATTGTACACTGCTTTGGATACAGCGAACTATTATTATTGCTGTAATTTCGCATGCTACTGTTTGCACCGTGAAGTTGGAATTCCCCGAAATAGAATCTGTATAAAGACACTAATGATCCGTATCCGCGGATATACATTTTTAACGATCCGGCACATCACTACTCCGCACTAGCCCGTCCCTGAGATGTTTACCAGAGGAGAACACTCTCTCTACGCTCAGCGGGCCTTCCAAGTGCCTGAGACTACCGTGTACTAGTCTCTTGCCCTTCTCTCCTCCTCTCTCGTTCGCCTTGCAATTTAAGGGTTTTTTGGACGGGACCTCCGAACAATCACAACCCCTTCTTCCCGTACAGCTTACACTCGGGTCCGCCGTCATCCGACGAGAGTGAAGCTTACATAAACGTCCGCCACTTGTTTACATTCAGTTGTTTACCATATGGCAAATGGTCTAATGTCTGACTACAGGTGGGTCCAATTGATAAAGCCGGCGCTTCCTTTGTTTTTCCCTTGTTTACAAGTCAACACCTCACAAGTGGTATTACCCGACCGCACGTCGGTCCAATTGACAAAATCGGGCCTCTTTTGTTCCCACTCTGCTAAAAGGTCAATACTTTACAGAACGTTAAAAGAAATACTGAAACATTGTTCTATTTTACTAATCATTCATCTGTTTTTAAATGACCTACTCTGTTTTTCCTTCTTCTTTTTGATCAGAATATGTATTTAATTAAATGCATTTCTGGCTTAATAACCCTCTTCTGTCCTATTCTATCAAATATATATCAAATATCAAATATTTGTTTTCAACAGCAACCTTGTGTTAATTCCGAACGAAATACATGTAATTAGACGTGCAGCAAGCAATCAAGTTCAGAGTGTAATGTTTAAATTAAAAAATTTATATAATTATGTGCACAATGGGATTAAATAAACATGACCTAATATTACATAATGAAAAGGGGATAAGCATTGACGTTAATCTGTCATGAAATCAGATGAAATTATCATACGGGACTCGGAATGTATACAAGCGGGGCGTTATAACTTTCTAGAGCTCAGGCAAATTTAAATTAGGGGGCCTCCTATAGTGTTCGCTTTAAACGTTTTGGTATTTGTTTATAAGCCATACACTAACGTTTTCTCTCTTAATTTTATTTACAAATTCTATTTTAAAGTATAAACTAGTTATATAATAGTAATGTGAGGATCGAGGGTGTATGACTACGTCGTACCTCCGTGAATCGGCTTTCCAGTCGGAGGGACTTGCCCACTTGTCAGACATGGCTTAAATTTTTAGTTTATCTCGAGGGAGCGGGACTAATTTTTCGGGTCTGGTCGAGTGTAGGAGGGAGGAGTGTCGTCGGTAAGGTGACAGGCGATATACGAGTAAAAGAGGACACCAATTTAACAAGGAAACAACGATTTATTAGCTATCTATGTAGACGGTACAATAACTATTATCGAGGGAAAATTCTGAGTCCCTTATACAACATTTTCTGATGATGGTGGTGTAGAATGTTTTCGTTTAGACAGTCAACAAGAACACAGTACACGCTTCCTTTCTAACAATAACAACACAAAAAAATCACTTTAATATTTCCAAATCACCGAGTGACTCTCTGGCACTCCACCATTTTTTGATAGTTACAATACTGGACCAGCCACACAGCTACTCACTTTTTTAGCTCCCTGGTCAGTACACACACTCTCTCTCTGACTCTACACACCCCTAACTAGGCGGGACAATCTCCTCCACCTGGCACGTGTGACCAAGCTGTGGACTGTCCATCACCACCTGCTGAGATGATCCACACACCTGACACATGTCTCACACATGTTACACTGAACTTAACATCCCTAAAACGCGAAGGGCCGAGAGAGAGTTCACAAAAGTTGGTGCCATACCTCTTTATGTATTTGGATATCCTGGCGAAAAAATAGGTAATCCACCAAGTCGTCAAGGATCGAAACAGGGCAACAAGTTAAAGACAAATCCCTAGAGTATGTATTACTACTACCGTTGATGAGCGACTCCC